GCATAAATTGTCAGCTCTAGTCGTTTTGTAAGTATAAGCTGTATTATATAATACTGGAAACACATCAAGTATGTACATACAACCATACACACAGTAGACTGAGATGTGTAGGTAAAAAAATGTTTGTATCAAAATAAGTCTAAAGTATTGAATTTGATTATGTCTTTGTATCATCATAAAAAATGTACACATCTCTGTTTCAGTTGTGATAAATGTCTCTGAAAATTTGTTGTAATGTTGCAGACTAAAACTGACCATATCATAAGCAACTGAAATACAGGTCAATATCTTCATACAAAGAAATACAAACAAATAAAAACATCAGAAAAACAAATCTACCAATGCTGAAATTATATACAAATTATAAACTTAATTTAAAATTGTTTTCTGTAAATCTTGGTACCAAATCATGTATTTTCAAATAAAAAAGGACATGTTTGTTCAATTCTAATAAATGTATTACAACACTTTTTATCTTTTGAGTAATCAAGATTAAAGAGTATGTATGGAAATAGTATCCAGATTTACAGATATTAATAATAATAAAAAAAAAAACAGATGATAAAATTAAGAAAATGTGTATGCATGAATTGACATTAATGAGTATGACATGTTTTGGTATGACCACTGTGTATGAGACATGGAAGTATGGCACAGCAAGAGCAGCAGCAAACTGTATATAGTCATCAAATATAGAAACAAGAAGATTTTATCATCTCGAAAAACCTACCACGCTTTGGACTGCTACCTGCATCTGAAATATCATCTACAAATATAAATAGCCAGTTCTGATTTTAAAACATTGCCATTTACTGATGTAGTGACATATTAATGATTAAACCTACAATCTGAATACAAGTGTGGAAATCAAAGACTTTTTTTTATAGATTTCACTGTAATGTGGTTTTATAATATGGCTATCAGATTGTTGTTCCTATACTACAGTGTTATGTGTTTGCCTATATTGGTTGCTATCTTGGAATTCCCAGTAAGTTGTGTAAGAACTAGCTTTCCCCACCAGCTAAAAGCTAGCAGTACAGAATATATACACTATACTCAGTACTGACAAATAACCTTTTAGCAAATGCACTTACATTGATATGTAATATTACAAAGATAATATAACTTTTCACACTGTCTCAGACTGTTTATGCAACTAAACATTATAATTCAAAGATAAAACCTAACACTGCTGTCACTAACAGGTTATAGTATAAACTGTCTAGTGCCCTTTGAATTTGATGAATGAAGGAATTAATAAATAAGTAAATAATTTCTTGTAAAAAAAAATGATGCTTTAGAAAATAAAAAAAATTCCTGTTAAGACTGCTTCAATACTTGTCTAAAACAAAACAGAAATGACCAAAAAAGCAACAGAAAATGGTTGGGTTGGAATGAAATCAGGTCATCAAATCACATCAATCTATAAATTTCAGAACAAATCCAGTTCATATAAAAGGATAGAGCCTATGCCACTGCTGCTATCAATGGAGGATAAAAAATTCCACGTCACTTGTCTGGATACCCGAGGGTATGCAGGGGATTGATTTGAAGGAGTCAGATTAACTAAGGATGAATCACTCCAACAGATTAGAGGCAGGTTCTTCAATGTTTTATTTGGTAGTTAAATTTGGGCTTCATCAGGAATTAAATTGATGAAGTCAAAATTTAAGGGCAAAACCAGTAGACCAACAGCCAAATAAAACATTAAAGAACCTGCCTCCATTCTGTTGAATTGATTTGTCTTTATTTAAATCCAGTCTATGTTCCATTCTTAGTATCAGTGGCGCTCTGTAATCAAAATTATAATTCCAAAATAAGGAATACCCACTAACACTGTATTTAATGTACCAAACAAATAAAAGGATAAAAAGAGAAAAGATATGATGTGGGGAATCAAATCAATGAAAGGTCATATCTTCTATCATGCCCCAATGTTAATAGATGTAGGGTCCATATTGAAGGTATGTGTAAGACAATACTAAAGGTAGGTTTTGATATAGTGATAGGAGAAACTAAGACAAAAACAGCTTATATTTATAAAACTAAACAAAATGTTTTTGAAAATAAAGGGTAAGGATGGTTTCCAGTGTAATAAAACAAAATCTTTAAAATGTATCTTTACACATGGTATGTCAACTTTGAGAAAACAGAATAAACACAACCTATAGGTCAAAGGTTTTGTTTTAAAAAGACAACAAACTCATACTTTAATAGTTACTGTGATGCCTGTAGAAATTTTCATCTTTCATCTGAAGAACTACACTTACCGTAATAATCCCAGGGCCCTCTCACTAGTGATAGCATTAACAGAAACACACCAACTTTAGGTGGCAGATACGTCACAGTGAAAATTTTAAATAAGTAAATGTTACGTTTTTATTTGTTTATGCAAATATTTCTTTGACAAATAAATAAAGATAAATAAAATAATCAACAATGTAAAATTGATGCAATATGTCTAATGAGACTTTCTGTTCAGATGTCAAAATAAATTTGAAAAAAAGTAAACAACGAAAATAAAATAATAGTAAATTACTTCGTAATTTCTTAAATGCATATATTCAATTCTCTCTTAAATATTCATATATGTTCCAATCATCAATAACTTGATAATAACCGATAATTTTTAAATTTTAGAATCAGACAGGCTTTGTTTTACATGATACATACTAAAGAAACATATACATAAACATATTTCCATGTCTGTATGTTTATCATCTTAACATTAAACTGGAAAATATTGATTAAACAAGTTACTTAAACATGCATTGTACCTATAATTTAATACAAAAGGTTTTTATGTATATTTCCTTTTTTAAATATTGGTAGACGTCCAAAATTAAAAGGTAAACAGAAAGTAGCCAAAAACAAAAATTAAAAACAATAAATCACAATATTTGCTAGTGTACGAACTACCTTTTTTCTACAGGTAATATATAAGTTTGAAAAGAACAGGTGATGCGTGTATATAGTATGTGATACACATCCCTTATCTATATGGGATCAAACTGTAGTTCTTAAAATTTCTTGTATATCATATACACATAAGTCAGAAATGTTATATATATCATGTATATGCTCCGTGGGTAGAGAATATGAAAAATAAAGACCACATGCATATACCTAAAAATATACCAGGTATACAGCAAATTATATGAAAATATATAAATTAATATATAAGTGAAGAAAACAGGAAATTACTCATGTACAGATACAGCACTGCCTGTTAATATACTATATGTACCAGGCACATATTTTACGTATTGGACCAGAAAGCTCCCTTAACTGAAAAGCTGTTAATAACTTCCATACACATAGAAGGTACTGTCAACGATGTTCCTTTCACAAATGCATGGTTCCAGTTAGAGTTGATTAGAAAAGCTTTGTTTCTTATAAATAATACAGTCATACATCATATCAAAGCTGAAGTGAATATTATTTCTAGATATCATTTCATTTTTACTTCCATTGTTTTAGTCAATTGTTTGATGTGTGTATGTTTCGTGATAAAAAACAAATTACCTGGACTTGAAACTGTTTGCACAATTAGTATAACTTCTTTGTCTCACATAGTTTTGTGTTTGACCTCAAAAACATAACCGTTTCACACCATATTCAATCAAATTTCTATATAAAGATTACACATGATGTAAAAATGTAATGTTTTAGAGCTGAATAACTTGGTCTAACTTTAGTAGTATAGGTTTGTATGTAGGCATTTGTTTTATTCAATGTATCAACATGAATGCTGTGTGTGTATAAATACAGAGAAGGAAGAATCAAAATAAATATACAGACAACTAAATCAGAAATATATATTTTTGAAATATTGTAAATTTGATAACATGCTTGTGTAAATCACTCAAATTTAGTTTGTTTTGTAAAAAATCAGAATCTGTATAGAATCTTGTACCAAATTTTATCCAGTGTTTACTGGCTGTTTTTGCTTTTTGGAATTTCACAAATCAAGATTTTTACCATCAAAATATGTCTGTCAGGACGTTCATAATCTGTTTTAACAATTTTAATTGAAAATGTAAGTGATTCACTGTATGGTCTATAGATAATAGTCCTAGAGCATAAACACTATATTGGACTTTTACACTTACCACCATGCCTGTGTCCTGATTAGGAATGCAAGGTCACAAGTCACATTGGTTAAAATACACATACTAAATTATCATATGTATATGTTGTCAAACAAGTAAGGTAAGATTAATCACTAGTTGAAATGCAGAAGTTCTATCTACTGTTTAAAAACTAATTTGCATATTATGAAATAAATTACAATAATACATAAGGAAAACAATTACATCCATAAGACATGTATTACTGCATTAAGTAAGTTGTACACACAAGAGTTTATTAGTAATATACATATATACAACCACAACTTACAACAGTGTAAGAAATATTCATCCACAGGTGGAATTGAAAATACCAGAGTAATCAAAATATCTTGTGTTTCATAATGTAATATATATATGCACTAACACTTTTTGTGTAATATTAGGTTTAACTTTTGTCATCTTCATCAGTATGCTCCTACAAAATATGTTGTCAATCTAAAGTTGCAATACCTACATGTGTTAATGAAAAAATATGATTACATATGTAATATTTGAGTTCAGGACAATGAGTATTTTTACCATCACCTTCACACATTTCAGTTTACAGATTCTTTTGATCATAACATAAATATTGGAGGCATAAGTCTAAATCATACATTCTTTCACATGTTATAATTAACCAAAAACTATCTATGGAAATTTCAAAAGATTCAATACAAGATTTAGACATGATAATGAATTAGTTTCAAAACCCTGATTATATGCTAAACTTTGTTATTTCTACATGTTGTACATTGTGTAAACATACAACATGTACATCTGGGTTGTATATCTATAATCTAAAAAAATAAGTTTTTCTATAATGCTATAGTTTTTTAGTAAGTAAAACACTATAATTATCTCTGGTAATACCAATCATTTACTTGCCTTCCTTATCAAGGGGTTCCACAATGGTTGTCTGGGTTTCTTTGTTGTACACGACATTTTCACGTGGTGGGATGCTTGTTTCAGATACTTTGGTTACACTCAGTTTCAGTTTTGGCCTCATGGACCTGCAAAGTTAACAATTCAATTTAAGCTAATCATACTGATGTAACAGTTCAGCTGGTAGATAGACAAATTGATTATGTTATATCTATATTAATCAAATGATAGTACTGATGACAGATACATATTACACTTATGCGGTTGTTAAAAGAATACAATTTCATAGGCACTTAATTTATGTTTAAACAATACTCAAAAACCCACTTCTACCAACAAAATTGTTGATTTTAAATATTTATCTCTTCATTGACAGATGAATTTGTGGAGTCAAATCATAAAATCTATCTCCAAAAAAGCCATGAAAATTTATGATATCAGAACTATATTTTATCGATCAATCAGGTTAAGTTTAGTAGATAATTTCTGAACACCTAGTTTTAAAAAAGCAAAATTGTTCTTTTACTCAATAATTCTGTTATAATTCTGATATTAGAGTAAAATAATGATTGATTATAACTGAAAACTACTAATTTGAAGTAAAAGATAAAATCAAACATATTGTCAGTAGGACTACTGGGAGATAAGTACAATGTCTGTGGAGGCTGTGGTGTGGCCGATTCTACATCTTTCTGTCCAGAATTTGACTTCACTGCTTCACTTGGCACATTAGCTGCAGCGTTACCTACAAGACAGACACTTTTATCTTCTTAAAAATGTACATGTACCAGTAAATATAAAGATAACGAATTTCATTATGCACACACACCTTTGTAAGCTATTGGAGAATTTAGCTGGACATTAAAACAATATTAATATAAACTTTTATTTATTCACAACAATTGGAAAACAAGCTTAAAGCTTATATCAAACACTATTGTTGGCCTGGACGGAAGTCCCTGAGGAGTCTTATTGTGGGAGAAAATCGCAGAACCTGGGGTTTGGTAGGTGACCCCCATACCTTTTTCATGTCCAAGCTGGAAATAGATACCCAGATGCCTTGGTGAAAGGTGAGCGTGTTATCAGTGTGCCACCAAACCATCAAAATAAAGTAACAAAAATAATATTGTGTTCATCCTTTTACAATCATAAATACCTATCAAAGGATAACCTGTTTATCTTTTACTTAAGAAACAGCATTCTTTAAACAAACAATAAATGCTGAATTAAGTATTTGACCTAAATTGAAAAAGTTCTGAAAAAAGGACAATTTTGAATTAATTTAATTTATGCATACCAGCAGGGGGTATTCCTAGATCTCTCAGCAGATCTTCTGTTTCCTTGTGAATATCTCCTGTTGGAGCTTTCTTTTGTACATTTTCATCTGGAGTCTACAAAATAATTGTATAATAAGAGGAACATTGTAAATACTACAAGAAACATTCAAGAAGGGCTATAACTCCTCTACAATCAAGAAAAGCTCCTGGTAATTAAGGTATATATGGCATAAAGATAGTCATATTGTGAAAACAATTGATTAGTTGAGTGCAGGTCAAGAATAATTCAGAAATTTCAGATCATCTGTAGTTCTTCATGTCAATTTGTTCATTTAGAGGTAGTTTAACTTTTGGCATTGAAAGGCTGTACCAGAATACACATTGGTACTATTCAATAATCACCCAGAAAATACCAACATGGCAACATAATCATAATTCAAACTCAAATTCCATAAAACTAGGGCAAAATGTGAACAAAAGGTTTACACGGAGACTCATGAAAAAGTACAATGAAAATAAGACCAGGTGTTCCGGAAGAGAAAGCTTCTTCTGCTTCATCGACACCTTGTGAATCTTGGTCAATCCAATTAGGTACTCCCATGTTTTATAACAACAGAACAAAAAGGCATACTAATGAGCATTAAATATGTCCAGATTCATGTCACACATAGAAACAGAATATTTCTCAATGAGATAATTATGGTGACCATGAAACTTCCCCATAATTTTCATCAATCTGCATCTTTTGAACCCTTCTGTTACAAGTTTGTCAGTAAATTGACAAGTTCTCGCATAAAAATTGTGATAATGAGAACAGCCCCTTGAATATTGAATCAACTGTGACATGTAAATAGGTTGGCAATGCAGGGATTTTTTTTTATCCAGAAATGGAAAATTCACAATAGGGAAATTGAAATCATCATGATTATCATACAGCTTTATGAAAATCTGTCTGTGTTGGTTTTGTTGTAGGAAAAGACACAGATAAGCAGCTGATGTAGAACATGTAAAATAATTATGAGCTTATAAAAATGATTTTAAAATACACAATTATCTTCAATGAGAAAAATCAAACACCTCAAAATATTTTGCAATTGATGCATGACTCTGATTGATTGATCATGTACAACGTGTATTCAATCATCAATTGTGAATCGAATGTAAAACCCATTTCGATTACCAAAGGCCATGTATATAATTTACATTGATGGCTATGTCCTCTAGTCCTTGTTGATGTTGATGCTAGTTATAGATGGATTTCCGGTCTGATGCTGATGAGGCCACAGCCAATTTTGTGGAGTCTGGTCTTATTTCTGCAGTAATTTTTTGAGTAATTTTGGGTGACGCCCATCTCAATAAAGAATATACACGTAAGTACATTACTTCGATTCAAATAGAAAACATTTAATCGAAACCCTGCGGCCGTTTCTACGTCATCTGATAGTTGAAGACGACGCAATAGTGCACACAAAATCGTCACCCCATCACTAACTATTCACTAGATATTCGTGCTACTTGACACTGGTGTCAAAATCCAATCAATCATGACTCACTGAAAACGCTGTTCAGTGTCAAAACAGAAATATTGTGACAGGGAGAAAATGTAAGTAAGTGATATGTAGCATGAAACTGGATGGAAAGCAAACGTAACTGGCCAACATAAATACACAGATAACTCGATATCTTTATCAATTTTATCAGGATTTCGGTCGGCGATGTAAAAATTCTGATGCTGGAGTACAGTAAAAAAATCTTACCTCTTTCAACTTTTTAATTCTATCTTTCTCCTGTCTCTCTTTTCGCATTTGTTCCAGCTTCGCCTTCTTGCGCTCTAGCTCTGCTTTTCTGTCCGACATTTTCGGGCTGCAGGCGGTTAATCAATAAATTATTCAATAATTTATGCTAAAACGATACTGCAGACTAGTTTCCGGAAGTGACTTAATTTCTTTTCGACGCCTCTCGTATTTTACTATATGCGAAATAGACACTGTTAGAAAACATCCGAACGGTATTGTGTGCAACTAAATATAAAGACGACCTATAATTTCCGGAAAGGTAGTCAATGCTGTTCTCATACAAATAAACTAAGAAGTTTGCGGTTAAAACCGCCTTATTATGACAAAAGCTCCTACCTGTATATATTGCAACTACGCTGTGTAATTTCATTTGTATGACAGTTTGATATCAGCCTAAACTTGCCAGAAGATTTATATGAAAAACTGGTCATTAAGGTTATCATTTTACAGAATGATAGTAGATACCAATCTAGCAACAGGAATGTCGAACAATAAATAAAAATAAGTAAGGTATTTTGACACAAAATTAATTTCTAAGATGAAATAAATGCTTCATTATCAACTGATTTTAGTATACGTATGTGATAAACATGTATTTCATATTCAATTTCACGCCCCTATGTAAAAGTTAATTATCAAAGAGCATAAGCGCTTGGAAGAGAAAATGACAGAAAAGTATACTTCGTTTTGCAGACCCAAAACAATGCATGAGTTTTTATACAAAAGTATTGTTTTCGTTTATTTCATTTTTCAATTCTGACTGACTGGTTGACAGATTTCTATGGGGGAAAACAGTAAAATTACATGAGTAGAGCGAACATTTCCCTAAAAACACAAAATAACTCCTCAGACTGAGTATTGAGTTTTGTTCACCACGGATACAACATTCCATGATTATGGTATATAACATGTCGAGGGTTACAGGATGCTTGACTAAACAACGAAAATAACGTCAGAGATATTTTATGTCGTTCGATGCCAATGTTTTCACTGTGAACGTGATTTATCACAAAATTGACCCCATAATGTTATGTCGACTTCTTTTTATATAATTGTCTGGATTTATAGGCAATAAACTGATATATGAAGAAAAAACTTCGAAAGAATTTAGTTTAAACAACATCGTATTCAACATTCAACAATATTAACAAATATATACCACTGTTGTACGTATGGATGGGAAATCAAGGTACCACACAATACATATATCTAAAACATTTGCAAAACTATTAACGAAAACGTTTACTTAGTTGATATAAATTTCGACAGTAATTTTTTACTGCTTTGAGTAAGCATCATTTCCCAATAAAGCGGTTTTTTTTTTTTTTTTTAAAGATTTTACATAAAGCATATAAACATCAAAAAGACACACTTTCACACACGCTCACACTCCATGTGCAAAAATATCATTATCATCATCATATCGCCATAGTAATCATCACCATTAACAACAACACATTATTTTTATTCTATTTATTTTTTTTTATAAATATGATAACGTATTTTGCCTGATCGCGGTGTAATTGTCACAAAACAGTAAAACTGATGGGTTCTTTCAACTAATCCGAAGCTAAAACGCAAGTTTTCGTATCATCCATGTGCATGGCAAGCATGCCATGCGGAATACATGCAAGTCAACATGCGAAGCCTGAGTGAATTCGCCCGTCACATATTCTACACTAAATAAACAAAAAAAAAACTACTAATACTAAACAAACTATTTATGACAAAATATAGGAACACGTACAAATGTATATCGTGCAGCTTCGTCATGAGGATATACTGGTATGATGGGAGGTCTGGAGTCTCCTTGTCTGTATCCATCTAACATTCTTGAATTCGTATGTTAAACAAATTTTTAAGTTGCTTCCATTCGTATATGATATAAGAAACTCATCACAATTTTTTTTCAGTTTAGCTTGCCAATACCTGGCAAAATATCAATCATTCGTAGACTCGTCATATAAGTCACATACCATACATGTACACATGATAGAGAACATCGATGGGAGTCTTGGTACATTAAAGACACACAAGGTGCTGTTACTTTCAGGATCACGCGGCATTCAATCACATTTTCTATTAACCCTTTTTTATAAACTGAACACTCATGCATTACACAGTTGTTTTTTTTATCTCACAGAATGTTCAACAATGTAAGCCTGAATGAAGTGTCTGCTTGTTATGTACACAGTATGGTTATAAACAGAAAGAGGAACAGACAAAGAAATAGCGAAGAAAGATTCATGATAAACACATACACACAGACATATATATGTTAATAAATAAACTGTATACCATTAATTATGATGTTATGATTACAGCTGGTCCCGCTGTATGTTTGCATACATAGCTGTACTCGTGTCTAGATCTGCTGTCCCCGTCACTAGGTTTTCACGATAAAAATGTTCTTTGCTTCCAAGATATCCACCTCTTGTCAATGCACATTCGGATTATTGGTTTCAAACATGTTTTGGAATTATATTACGTTCAAAGAAAATCTTCAAAACCTAACAAAACATTTAAAGTAGTAATAACATTCGCATACTGAGTTCACCATACATTTACAAAACCTAACATAAACGAAATGGATTTTGATGAAAAATCGTATGTTTTCCTATTTGAAATTATGAACATAGATATCAATGTAGTTTAATTTAGAGATACTACAATGTTAAAAAGACTACAAATCTATTGTTTTTTAATGTTGTAAATTGCTGTTCAAGGTTAGATCTAGGTCTTTAAATGACATGTCACCATTACTTTTGTGGCAGATTTTTAATTGTACTTGTTTAGTTAAGTTCAGTTGAAGTAGTTTTTGCGGATGTATGAGAGAAGAGTGTGGCAAAATTTTAATTGAACAAGACGGTCGCCTTCTTGTTTCACGCTCGGAAGACGGACTACCGGTACGCAAGGGGTCACAGGCACACGACTCCATTCCTGTTACACTTTCAAATCGAAATCGACGGTTGTCTCAACATCAACATTTCAGTCCATCAGCTTTACTCGCTAATCTTAACACTGTGGTTGTGGTGTTGTATTTCCTTATTGTTTTGCATTTAAGAAAGGGTTGATTATTAGAAACAGAATGGAGATGACCTGTAAATTTTCCCGTGGATATATGCAAAACTTAATATTTTCAACCTGGTTTCAATTTTTCTCGTTAAAATGAAATTTGTCAATGACAAATCAGGGACCAAAAATTTGTTGATAAATATCTTCAACCTGGGATTAATTGTTATCGTTAAAACCATATTTGTCAATGTCAAATTAGATAAGGTTTATATCAATAACTTCTCCATTTCATATGAAAAACGAGGTTTAGATATTTTTTTTTTCATTTGGGACCCAAATTTATTATCAGAAGTCCTGAAATCGTGCGCCCTCTCCGTCATCTGAATGAATATTGTAAACTTCCGGCAGATTAACTCCCTTTTCACAAGTTGCAACTAGACGACAAGCATGGCTGGGAAGCAACAACAAATCGACGTTTCCCAGTTACCGGCGCCTCAACTGAATCAGTTGACACAACAATTAGATCAGGTACAGGCTATTTTAACTACCATTATTTCTCATTCATTTTGATATCAGATTGGTAGCTAACAATAATATAGGTCCCATATAGTCATGTTTGCATGACATCATTTTTCACTTATATTTCGGAGGAGGGGGGGGGGGGTCATTTTTACCGATGAATCGAGAAAATCACTGTTGAAATCAATGATAGATTTCCGTACGGAATACTTGTATATATATGTGCATGGAGCAATTGCTAAAGACAAGACCCTAGATGGATATCATGCTAGTATCGCCTTGACATCGGTTTCGGACCAATATGCATTTCGGAACGGCCATTTTGTCGAGCATTATAACATGAACTTTTAGCTTTCATGACCTTGCATCCGGACGATTTTGGTTGCTGTAATATGGCACGCTTCCAGACTGAATAAAAAAAGCGTTTTAAACCATTTACTATGAAATGTTATGTGTATATATTTCATTGGCAAATTTGTGTATTTTTTTCTAATACACATTTTCACATTTCAAACATCCTACTAGATATGAAATAGCCTATCAATTTACCCTCAAATACCCATACTATTTTGTTGTCTCTCGTGCAAACAAAAATCAACCATGGATAAAGGGCCATGCCTTCTTGCAATATTTTGGCTATAGAAGCCCAGAATTGCATGTTTTATATTGATGTATAAATCATCACTTTTGACAACTCATTTATAATTTTATTAAACTAGCAAGTTGTAGACCATGGGATGAAAAGTCATATTTATTTAAATAGATTGTGCTATTGTGATATTGGATCTGTGGTTATCTAGTCAGAAAAATACTGGTCAGTTTTTAAATAAATCTTTGAGTGTGACATTTCAAGTCATGTTTTTTGTTTGATGACAGTTCATCAACATAGCGTTATTAGAGGAAAATAATTCTTATGGGGTCCCAAACTAATGCATCAAGGATATCATAATACTTGTTGTTAAGATTATCACTACCAAGTATTTTCAGCTTATATTGATGAAAGATATGTTGATTATATTTTATTGATTTCATTTGTTGGTTTTGTTTACAGGAGATAGAGTTCTTTTCAAACTCCCTGAATCAGCTAAAATTGGCACAGGGAAAATTTGTCGAATCCCAGGAATGCTTGAACAAAGTCAGCCCAGACAATCTAAGCAAAGACATTTTGGTGCCTCTTACCAGCTCTGTATCCTTTATAGACAAACATTTTTCAATATTTTAACACCCTTTACTCTCTTGACTGTTACTTCTTTGTAGTTCACAGACACATTGTCCGATTTCTTTCTTTCCATAAAGTTTGATTTTTGTTGATAATTCCATTACAATTGGTGATTATTTACTAACCTGGCAAAGTTTGTGTATATTTTTCAAGTGATCAATCCATTTTTACCAAAGTTAGTGATTGATTAAAAAAGTAACCCTCGCCCTCTATAAGCTCTGAACGGTAGACAGCTTGATTAAGCAACTGATCAATATTTCAATCATCTTTGGTCTTATACCAATGGTATCTTATTAGTGAATGTGTTAATACTGAAGCTGTCACCAATATGCATGATTGAGTAAAGTAATACCCATTATAAAAAGAAATGGTACTGTGTAAGTTTTATTCAGGTTTTCAGCTTAGCAGAAATATATAGGAAATGGGAGTTAAGCTAGTGAGGGACTTAGGAAGCATCTTCTTCTTGAATACAGACATGAAATTATCACAAACATGTGCTATGAAGGGAAATTGTGAAAGTTAGTAGCCATGTAAGAAAATAAGTTTATAGCAGGAAACAAATCGATGTTGTGTCGTCTCGTAACTGTTGTTAGACCATGGAGTGTCAAACATTTGTATTACAGATGAGGGTTACAATTCAATCCATTTGTGCTAAACCACGAATATCAAATTTTTGAAAACTGAAATCATGAAGTCCAGTTGTTGAAGTTGGTACATACAGAAATTTATTTATTTAACAGGTTTTATGGTCACTATTATGGCCTTTCAGAGGACGAGAAATTGAGAATGTGACACTTATATTTCAAGAGGGGTTTGTTTTCTTTTTGTTGACATTTTGAAAATTGTAGAAGTATTCAGTATCATGTACCCTTCATGGTGTTTGTTAATCACTGATGTCCATTAACTGCCTTCATGTCAAGTAATAATTAGTCATATCTCATTATGATGTTATATGTTGTCTTTCTGATTTCAGTATAATTGTTCTAATAACAATATATTCTTAAGGTTAAATATGATATCAGTTTGATTGGAACAAGAGTCATATATCTGCTCAGAATAAGAATTTTGATAAAGTTAAAGTGTCCAGTGGCAGCAATGCCTGACACTGTTCTTTATATGGATGCTAAAATTACATTAAAAATTTAATGTCGATATATGGCAGGATGATTTAAATTCAAAATACATAACTATCGTAACAGTATCGAATTGGTGACAATAATGATTATTATAAATAATTACTCGCCTTAACTTAAATAACAGATGTATGTTCCTGGGCAGTTGAGTGATGTACAAAATGTGTTGGTAGATATTGGAACTGGGTACTATGTAGAAATGGTAAGTACAGATTTACAGCATGAATATGAGAAGGAAATGATAGAATCATTGTATGGATGACCCCGGGAGGCTTAACCTAATGGTCAGAGCATGAGTTAATAAACTTTGAATCACCTTGTGGACAAGTCATTGAGTCATGAGTTGATGGAATTAATGTATGGGTGAGTCTTGAGATACCTAGTATAGCTTGGACAAAGGTTAATGGAATTAATGGAAGTATGGGTCAAATGAACTATAAAAAATGATGTAATCAATATGATAATCCGCATGCAGAATTTATGTGTGGGAGAATGACTCAATAAAATTGATGTTTGGGTATTACTTATTATACAAACTAATTTATTAGATACTACCCTGACAAAGGTATGTAAAGTTTGATTTTATCACTGTTAAAAGTATAATTAAGATTCAGATATTGATGACCGAAGTCATTAAATGCAGGGGTAACAAAGTTAAAATTATCACCTAACTATGATTACAATATGAAACTGCAGCAATACCTAATATAATTATTCTTCATTTGACATTTCTGTAATGTTGAGATACCTTAAAATTGAAAATAAACGTTTGAAATTGGATGTCATATTAAGTTGTAGCTTGGTATATACTCTAATGTTTTTTATTAATTTTACCTAGACTGCTGGTAGCTCTTTCTTTATTGGATGGAAATGCTGTAAACTATGGACCCTGATAACATATGCCAAAATTTGGAACCAAGAAACACTAATAGCTCTCATTTTCTCCTGTTTTACCATTATTTATTAAACAAAATATCATATATAGTTCAAAATATATATCACACTGGCTTGATCCAACTCTTCTGTTACATCATAAAATGTACTATATTTCTGTCTGAAGACACGTAGATCTGTTATAAGAGTTCCTACCTAAAATCAGTCATTACATTCACCATCTGCAGTCAGTTGATTCACTTCAATTAATTAATAACCTAATTCAATCATGATTTAAATTTTGTGTATATTTCAGGAAGTAAACAAAGGAAAAGAATACTTTAAAAGAAAAGTAGAGTACATCTCAAAGCAGATTGAAAAGATCCAACCTGTTTTACAAGAGAAATATAGAATGAAGCAAGGTAATTATTTTATAATAAACTTAGTATTCATATTCAGTAATATTAAGCTCTGTTAATAGTCATATCAGATTGCTTGAAATCCACTTTAAACATTTTCTGTGATTATTTTCTGATATATATGCCAGCTTGTGGTAATTGGCAAATGATTAACAAACATCAAAAAGTAACTTTCAAAGAAAATGGTTATTGTTGTTAAAATTTCCACAGTTCAAGATTTACAGAAATGAAGCCCATTTGTATCTCTGTACTTCTTTCTTCCAGCAACAATGGAGATCCTTCAAAGTAAAATCCAGGCAATGAGTCTACAACAGCAAGGTTCGGCACCCAAAGCTTGATCAACCTGTGTTTGATTATCTCAAATCCTGTGTCCCTTCTAATCTGTTGACAGTTCTACCTACTCATTTGCTTTGTAACTCATTTTGTATTACATAGTGTAAACTTTATAATAAATTGCCATGTTGTAAGCTCAAATTGAATTGTATTGTGGTCAAGAAAAGAAATTTAGTGTCAAACATTTTAGGAGATCAGAATACAGGAATTGAAGTAAAGAAGATTTGCAAAATTCTTAAGAGACACCCTCTTGCCTATGTTTGTTGAAGCACTGAGGTCAGAACAAACTTTAAGTGTCATTAAACTGACATGTCACAGCCTGGGCACATTAGTATGACACCTACTCTATCACATTATATTAGTACTGACAATTTGCTTAAAACTGAACATAAATCAGAGAGTTTTGTTAGAGCCCTTAACCTTCCTGGCTTGGGCAAACTCTAAATACTAGACAAAATGATGATTTAAGAAGAGAAGATACCAATGTGAAGACCCCAAGTTTAATCGCCTCTAACTATCATGCAGTGGAGACTGTACAAATATATTGCACAATTTTCAACAACTGGTGCCGATCATGAATGAAAATGTATCAAATGAGAGGGAAAATATACATTTTATGCAATACCGCACATTTTGTTCAGTTAAAACATTGTCACGTACTTTCGTGACATCTTCATGATACTTTCTTTGCATTTACTTGCAAAACAGCTCATCCAATCCGTTAACTTTTTCTCCGTCAAGAAACGTGCACAGTATAAATAGATAGATAGCAAGCGAGAGAAACAACATATCTGTGATTGTACAACTCCTGGTTAAAGGATGTGTTTTATTCTTCATGATATATATCATTTTAAACTTTTAGAACGCATGGGAATACTAAAACGACACTATACACTACATATATGTGTGTGTGTATAAGCAACATGAAACACCAGGGAAAGTTCATCTGCCATGCACTCTTAACGAAAATTCAGTAGTTAATATAAAGTGGAAAATTAACAAAAATGTGTTATGATATACACCGAGAAATAATTCAAAGTTTAATGCATTTATTATACCAAGGGCAAATATTCCGAATATCTGTCAAAATACAGGACTTCACAGCTAAGTTGAAACGTTTTCTAACAACAGGAGGCGAAGTGGGGTATTTGGGTGTCAGCAAGCAGTATACGACTCGTCAGCTTTTGGAAAAAGATATCTTTAGACTGATAGACAACAAGCTCGGTTTATATATATCTCGGCCGATTTGTCTTGCACCTACTTGTGATAATGCGATCGTTATGACTGGTATGAAAATATGAATTGGTGAAAGAAAATCTGACAAATGTGTAGCTGTCAATTTTTTTCTATTCACTTGGTGCACTTTGCAGTAAGAAAAGCACCAGTCATTACCAGCTATTGAGGATGTGCTAGTTGATCTCCAACTTTAACAAAATGAGGCTCTGGACATGAGTGTTGGCGACCAGAGCAAGATGATAAAACATGTATGTACCAGATGACTGAGTAGACGGTGCATTGATAGTCATTTCTTTTACCTCAAGATTAATATAATCTTTCTTCCGTCTTAAGCCAAGGGTGAAACTAACAGGATCTTACACTTGTCCACGGAAAGACCCATCTTAGATAAGTTTTCTCACAAAAATTTACTTTAAAATTGTATCAAATTGTATTTTGTTGTGAAATAAGAATGAAATCTAAGAAATGTATGGTATCACAATGTATTTTTTTACCAACGACAGATTTTCCTGTGCGAACGCAATACTTAATAAAAATCAAAAGAAGGAACGCCACCCAATGAACTACAGGCTATCAGATTATATTCTGATGTTATGTGCTGATTCCAGACTGTACGTGACTACTTCTGATGAATATGGACAAAAAACTTTCTCATCCCCATCGTAATACTCGCGGTAAATGATCTTCTTTACATTTACAAATAATAGAATATGGAAGTATTCTCTCTTTCTGCATCGACACTTGAAGCTCTCTTAGTGTTGAGGGGGCAAATCGGGGAAATTTGGGGTAAGGAATTATGAAAAGGAATCCCTAGATAGACTAGGTGGCTTATTACAGGTCACTGAAAGGCTAACCTGGAAGATATTGGCTTTTCACAGTACGATTTGTTACAATTTTTTATTTTCTCATACTTTAACATTTATGATAAAGATTTTTTCATCTCGTGAAGGTAGAAGATAATTTTTTTTTACTTCTTATAGTCGCTTTATCTGTACAAAAATCTCTCAACACTATTATCGCGTCTGTATACACGTATATCTCTGTCTAAAGGTCGGGCCATAAAAATACATTTACGCCTTTGAAATAACTATTAAATGTAATTTTGATTTTTTTTTCACACACTATCAAATTGATTATCAACTGTCCTATACACCTTTGGTGTAGATGACAATTAATTTTGTATACTGGATGTTGTTGAGTTTGTTCACACCGAATTTACCTACTGATAAAGTATGTGATGATGGGCAAATAAATGCGGAAGAAGTTCAACAAAACCTCTGTCCATTAACCAGCTTGAAACATACATAACATTTGACCTGCTTTTCACAAAAATACAAGAGCTATTTCTGGTATTCCCCGCCCCTTTGTGCTCTGTAATGTCTAACATCATGATGTCATTACATTTTTGATCATGAAATTAAGGAATTCGTTAATCTGATAAAACTGTATCTATCATCACTGCAGTAATGATTTAAGAAATCTTATCAAATCATTAGCGATAGTACATTTTTTTCAATGATGACATCACTTCCGTACTTTTCACCACCTAGAGCAGTGCATTCTCATCACTGCATTGGAATTTGCAGATTTTTCTTTCATGTACGCAAATGAAGCGAATGTTGAATACGTTGGTTTTCCCTCAAATAATTCCGATGTGTATTTCTGGTTTTCTCTTATTTTCAATGAAAATGGTAGAATATAACGTAAAACTGGCTATTAAAAATGGCGTCGCCACTTGTATGACATAATATATCTATGTTCACTCTTGCTTCGCATCCGTTAAAAACGCATTTTGTCAGAATTGTGAAATATATATGATATTAATTATAATATATTAGTTACCCTCTATATCTTTAAGAAAATCATGAAGGATGAAATCATGATAAACTACTGACTTAAAAAGACATAAAAAATATAACAATACACAAAGGACGCTCCAGTTACAGAAGGAAAGGGAGGTAAACGAAACCCTCTTTTCTCGATTTCTTGTCGTTGTCGAAACACACCTGCCACATATATTTTTTCTGTTACTGAAAACAATTGTATTTAAGCACGAGCAGCAATTCGATAGAATTACTTTCTGAATCTGTTTAAACATTAAATTTAAAAAGATATAACACCTGCTGAAATAAGAGATCTTGCATGTTATAACGAACAAGTCTATTTACGAAAATTCATAAAATCGCTGTCATATATATTGAAGTTTGGAACTATATTTCCGCGTAACGTCAAAGCAAAGTAAACAAAGAATGAAGAAAAAAACTGTTGAAGTTTTGATGGTCTGATTTGCAATCAAAGTTGCAGGATAAAACATAAGTTGCATTTTGGCTCGGGACATAAAGACAAAAGTGACTCGCCAGTGTCGCCACATTTGTCTTTCTTCACTCCTGCCAAATACAGCTTACCCTATTTAAGTGTTTAGGTAACCCAGATAGTGCTGATTACTTCCCCTTCCACACATCTATTCGGTATGTGACAATATATATAATCTGGTTGTGAACCAGAAAAGAGGAAAAGTCATAGTGCGATGACGTAAGCTCTATTTTAGCCATGTTTTACTCTGATTATAGTAGCAATCCTTGTTTGGTCACGTGTTATTCTTGGTTGGATGCTAATTATTTTCCAAAGCTTGGTGTATAATGTGTGTACTGAGAATTTCGATATAGAGAATACAAGGTCAGTGTCTTAACATATAAGCTGTGCTTTAGCGAGAGTGAAGAAAGACAAAAGCCTTTGGCGAGCCACTATTGTCTTTCTGTTCCGAGCCGAAATGCAGCTTATTTTTGAAGGCACCGATCATGTATTCTATACTGCAACATTTATTGCAGAATATCGAAACTTCGTCGGTTTGTTTGGATCATTCCATCTCCGTTTACCTGACGTTGACGTAACTGTTAATTGTGCCTAATGGTGCACGTTAAAATAATTGCTCCGCGTGGAAATGTAATTTCACACTTCAATGAATATAAAAATCAATTTTCCGAATTCGTGAATAAGCTGGTTTGATAAAACAAATGAAATAGTTTATCAAAATAGTTATTTTTATTTTTTAATGAAATGTTTAAATAAATCAGAATGTAGTTCTGTTGGATTAATGCACGTGCTTACATACAGCTGTTTTATGTCACTTCCGAACGGCAGCATAAATAAATGTGGCGATGTAATCCGACCATAGCAGCACCAGTTGCAGGATAAATAGAGAATACTTGGTCAGTGTCTTAAAATGTAAGCCGTATATCGGCTCGGGACAGAACGACAAAATGTCACATTTGATATACACCTGCATCTTGACGTCATGGAATATTTGAATATGAAGGCAGGTGTGCTGTATCCTACTTAAGCTGAAACAACCCATTGGTAAATAAGATCCATTTATTAAACCAATTCCAAAAGATGTTTCCACAATTAGATGATACAAAAATATATGGGCCCGGAGATGCATCATAATTATCAGTTGATCTTTAGGTTGCAACAATGGTTAGACACTTAGCTATTAAGTCCCATAGTAATAAATGCAAGGCTATGACATCAGGGCAATATACAATAATTATCTTTTTCTGTACAGAAACAAGATGTCCAAAACCAATGAAGAAAACGGTCCGCGAATAAGGAAATTATAAAGGACAACCAACGTAAAATCACTAGTATTCAAGCTTCGTTGAATAAAAAAAATGAGGTCAATAAATATGATCATAATCATACGAGGATGATGTTCCGATGTAGACGTCTAGTACGATCACATCTTAAATATGGAGAAAGTATATGAAACCTTTACTTAATAAAAGACATAAAAAGGAGAAATAACAAAGAGCAAACAAAACAATGCAATATCCAGGGCTAAAATGCCGTATGACAATGGACTGAAACATCCGAGTCTGTAACCTGTAAGATACCACAGATTACAA